TAGTTGGTTACCTCTACCATTTGTGTCTGTGCTGCCCCATGCGACGTGGTGGGAGTTTGCGTCTGTTCCTACGATCAGTCTGCTCCTCCCTCTCGTTGCATAGTCTACCAGCCTCTGAAGTTCCGCTGTTGGTGGTTCTAATTCGTAGGGGAGGTAGGACGATGCAAGTATAAACTCCCTCGCCCTGTCCTCCCCTTCTCTTTTTACATTCACCTTCACCGCTGTTAGATCTGCAGTTATGAGGTTTCTTAGCGGCATAGAGTTTATTCCCTTCCTCACTAATATGCAGGTTCTGGGTCTGTTTTCCCCTGACAAGTCATAGACTAAGTCAGCGCCAGCCCCACCGAATCCTGCAGGTTTCCCTTTGATGGTCCAGGGTTCCTGGATGAGTGCAATGTCCAGTTTCTTAGTGAGGAAGTTTTTCACAAGGTTTGCTGTCGCAGCCTTGCTTTTATGCAGATTGATCTGCACGATCTTCATTCCCTGCTTTCTTTTTGTCCAAGTTCGTTAGCCTCACTGAGTTGAATCCGATGTAGATAACCATCTTCCTCGCCTCCAGGACTGCCAACGAAGCCATGTCCACTACGCACACCAAAGTTTGACCTTTCGTGGTCTCCTTTGAGTGTATAACTTTCCAGTCTTTGGTAAGAAGTCCACCGTTCTGTCCCTCGATCTTTTCCAAGATCTCGGACGGCTTTGCCTTCTTCAACTCTGCTGGTGCTTCGAAGATGACCCTGCAGCTTACGATGAGGTCCTTTGCAAGGACCGCCTTCAGCTCTGCCCCTTCCCAGGGTACCAGAGTAGCCGTCTTATCCTGCAGCCAAATTTTGGTAACCAAGTTTCTGCAGTACAGCATCAGTGCTCCCTGCTCGAATTTGGTTCCCTGAAATTGTGGCTTAGTTTCTGAGTCTGGTTCTATCCTTGCTAGAAGAGCCTGCTGTACCAGCTCCATTTCTTTTTCGCTGAGCCTGCTCTTTGGATAGTCCTTCGGTACCACTGCCATTTTGGTGACTACGCCAGAGAACGAAGGTCCTGGTTGGTCTTTCCAGCGTTTGTTTGGCACAGTGTTCTTGGCGGAGTCCGGTGTGCTGCTGTCCGATCTCCCTCTCTTGGAGGTTTGGCCTTTCAGCTGCAGCTCCCTTAACCTATCTGTTTGCGGCTGCGAGGAATCAGCTTTTTTCTGTTTCCGCTTTGCCGCACCAGATTTCTTATTCGAGTTTGCAGGTTTAGAGGGGGGTTTTCCCTTTTCCTGCTCCCCGGTGGTAGCTGTGGGGGTGCCGGCTGAAGTCTGCGGGTTGGTTGTCATTGCTGACTTCCCCTCCGCTGCCTTCTCCTGCTCCTCCCTCAGTTTTCTTTCCCTTCTTCGCTTTTTGATTTGGGCTCCAGAAAGTTTCCTTTTTTTCGTTTTGTCCTTTGGCTCGGTCTCTCCGGTTCTGGCTTCCGCCACCCCGGTAGTTTCCTCTGAGGTTGCTGAGTCTTTCGGTTCTCCCAAAAGCCTCTCCTCCGTCTCAGAGGAGACTTCCATCACCTCGGATTCTTGCAGTGCGGCATTTTCGTGCCCCCCGCCTGTGCAGAGTTCTGAGGATGTAGCAGTGTGTAGGTATTGCTTCTCCTCATTCCCCTGAAGTACCATCTCTAGGTCTGAGTCTGGTCGACTCTCCCCTGAGATGTTCTGGTTTTGTGGTGTTTCAGAGTGAATGTTATCCATATGAGTCCCACGAGATGTGAGGAAGTGGTGTGGTCCACCCTAGCAGAGCCTCTTACCAGGGTAAGGCTACATACGCTGGGAGGTCGCCCGGTATCCCAGGGCTCCGTTAAGGCACCATTTGCCCCTGGTGCCATACTCCCAACGCACGGGTCGCTTTACACGCTGGGTATTTGGGGCTTGGAGCGTTTGGTCCGCGACCTTTTATTCAGTATATTCAAGGCTACCCTACACAAGTATTACACGACGGCACTACCTACCTACATAGGGAATCCAGCTATCCGCCACCTGCTGACGCGCCCACTAGGTAACGCCCCCAACCCGTGGGAGTCTCAGTTTGGACATGATTGAGGCCAGTCGTGCGATTTTGTCGATTTTCCCTTCATACCGATAATTAGCATGTTAGCCTACCTTTAAATCGACTTGTTTTCCAGCAGCTGAACAGAATTGTTTTCTTTTTGGTTTAAATGATTCGGTAGACACTCTACTTCTTGAATCTGAAGAATTTTTGTTTTGACTCTTCAAAAAATTTAAACTCGTTCAGGCAAACCGTGCCGGGATAATGTTATGAAGAATCGACGAAATCGCATGATGTGGCCACTTTGATGGGGAAAAGGGGGCATTTTAAACGTAACGAGGCAAATTTTGTTATTTTTTCGTAAATTACTATAAAACATGTGATACTTTAGAAATTTTCAAAACTGTAGCAGCTATTTAAAGGTGAAAAAAGGCACGCCGTGCGGGGAGATTTTTTTTTTTTTTTTTGTGATGAGGGGAAAAATTCGCTACAGTGCCCCCATCATGAGGGTCGCCAAAACGCCCCCCATGAAAGGGGCCCACCGAATACCGGACGGCAACGGCCAACAGCTGGTGAAGAGCCGCCGAAGTGACCCTTAACCGACCCGACCGCTGTGAGATGGGAAAACCCGGTTATGTGGGGGTAGATCACGCCGCTGTGTTCCGTACCCACTAAACGACCCCTCCAGAGAAGGCGGATAAAGAATGGTGGTCGCATTTCGTACCCTCTGGACGTCACACGGTATCGGGTACATCGGGTACATGGGCTGGCCGAGGCTGGGGGGGCCGACTCAACCTCGGATTGCACGGCAAAACCCGTACCCTCCTGACGTCACAACGCTTCAAGATGGCAGCCAAAATCGAAATGCGACCACCATTCTTTATCCGCCTTGCCCTCCAGGCCACACCCCGTGCAAGTGTGGCCCATCGGACGCTCTATCCTCCCGTCGGACGTCCCTAAAGCGTCCAGTCCACCTTCAAACTAGGAGCTTTAAAGAGGCTCATCGATGGAACTGTTGACTGTTACCTTTCAAAGATCGTCGGCCCGACGATCTCTGAAAGTAACCGATGTCTTCAAGATACGTCACATATCAGATCTTGAAATTTTCAAGGAATTCCGTGTAGAAATGGCTGAGAAATAGAAGAGTTGGTGCCAGTTTGAGAGCCCCAGTTTGTAAGTGGGCTGGACGCTTTTGGCACTCTTCGAAGTTCGAACGGCAGTCCCCGACCCCGGCCCCAGTGCAGCCGGCGCCCCTCAGGCCCCTCACTTGGGGGAGGGTCCCCCCTGTGACGATAAATTTTTCCGTCACTCTAAGTTTCGAATAAGTAATCACCTAGGAAATTTTGTTTAATTTTAAACCGTGCCGAGATTTAATCATGTGTAAAAATTTCGATGGCTACAGCTGCCGCAAGTGATTGCGTAAGTAGCGCATTCGTAGGAACGGTGAAGTAGCGGAGTACCGCAGTACCGGTCGGCCGCCGCGCGCCACTCGAGCGCTCTCGCGGAGCGATCTGGAACCTCCTGGAGTACCTTTATAGACAGAGTATGGCCATTTCTGTTCCGATTTTTCATTGGTCGCGAGCGAATATGCTGACACGATGCTCTTACGGCCGTAAATAAACAAACAAGATGGCTGTTATCAGCAAGCAAGATTGAGCTTATACACATCTTACATCCTCCTGTGATAAAGGTGAAAGGCGATTTAACAATGTTTTCATGTATTTTTCGTGTGCTATTCGTAGATATGCTAGTTTAAATTGTTACTGCCGCATAATTGAGATTTTTGTGAAATTTAGCTTCTTATCGATGTTAAGGTGAGCCGCCATTTTGTTTGTTTATTTACGGCCCGAAGAGCATCATGAAGCCTAAAAACTCGTTGACCAATCATAAAGCGGAACAGTTTTCCTGTAGTAAAAAGATACGAATGGCCATACTCTGTCTATAAAGGTATACCTACTCTAGAACCTCCTGTACCCGACGACCCAGCTGTTTTTCGTGTGCACGGTGCCTCAGTCGCTCAACCTCTTTAGGAAAAGTCAGTTATTTATTATTTTAGCTTAATTAATTGATTTTTTCACCAAATTTATTAAAGGAAGTCCTGAAGCTAACCTAGGAGAGTAGTTTGATGTAAGAAAAAAATTATTTAATTGTATATTTAACTGATTGGAGGCGAATGAAGTTGGTCGACGCTTACGAAAGCTAGATGAAATGAATTTGATGGGGTCCCGACCGGTACGCTTCCGCAGTCATCCGACCAAATTGAGATAGATGCTTGGTTCTTCACTTTCTTTGGATCTTTTCTTTTACGACGCTGTGCACGTGGTGAGTAGCACGCTCACAAGGGAAAGAATCAATAGGTACTCCTGCTAATTATTTACTTGTGTGATTCACTCTACCTTATGGGTAGCTCCTATAGTACCTAAATAATTGCTTGAGTCTTCAATTAATTTTATCAATTTCATTTTCTTCATCAGGCCTTAATTTATATTTGAAAACAGACTGTTTTTTATTTTTGACAAAATAATTCTCTCGTAATCGATCAATTTCCAAGTGTGTCCACGTGTTGAGTAGCACCTGGGATTTTGGTTGTTATTGGAATTTATTTTGAAAATATTTATTTTGAATCCTAAATCTACCATTCAAGATTGAGTGCACGTGGTGAGTCGCACCGGATGTCCGGGAAATTTAAGATCAAATAAATAAAACAAATTTTAATTGGAAAGTCTGAGAATTTATCCGTCCATTAAGTTGAATTTAATTTTGCCCTTTCAAAATTAAATCTCTCATAGCATGTCAAATTCCAAGAGTGCACGTGGTGAGTAGCACCGGGAACTTTGGTCGCTATTAGAATTTATTTTTGAAAATATTTATTTCGAACCTTAAATCCGCCATACAAGATTGAGTGCGCGTGGTGAGTAGCACCGGTTGTCTGGAAAATTGATAGTCAAATAAATAATCAAAGAAAAAATTCATTCGAAAGTTCATTCATTCATTCTTTTGTCACTTTTACCGTTCCTTTTAAAGTATTTTAAAAGTCAATCCGATCAACTCATTCGTCTTCAACCATCCTATTTTTGATCTCGCTTCTATAGTTTATTTTTTTTTGAGAATTTTAAGTTAGTATTTGTGTTTAAGAAATAGTTTTCTTTTCTCGTCAATAAAATTGACTCTAGTATGTTCAAATTTGCTCTCATTATTCCTTCCTGCCAATCCTGTCCTCATCTCAGGAAAATCACCTCATTATATTTTTGATTACGCACCTCAAGTGTGTTGGCGCCCGAACCCAGGCGTCCCGACGAGCATCTGGCACCCTAAAGTGGCTTGATCTGCTGAAGCTCGATCCTTTCCAGAAGGCTTGCTTTCTGACGATCAGGATCGTACGAGTTCTTACTTTTCCTCGCCACACACCCATCCCCCGGGACCGATCTGCCGAAGCCATCATTGTACCCGGAGTCAAGGGCGTAGGAGGAGAGCCGAGGCCCAGCTTGCGCCAAACCCTGCGACAACCCCACGGCAGGGCTCTGGAGCCGAGGACTGGAGGGCAGGGAGGGCAGACCAGCTACGTCTCGCTCAGCCCTCGAGGCACCCGATCTTATGCGGCCCCAGAAGGGGGCAGCCTACACATGACTCAGCTCCGCGGGTGCGTCGAACCCGATATCCCCAATTGGATAGCCTACGGTACAGGGAGATTGTAAGGAAAAATCGGCAAAATCGCACGACCTGGCCTCTTTGATGGGGATAAAAGGGCATTTTAAACTGTGCGATGTGAATTTTATTATTTTTCTCGTAAAGTACTCTAAACAGTGTATTATTTCTAAAAATTTCAAAGCCGTAGGAACATTTCAAAGGGAGGAAAAAAATTCGCGAAATGACGAAAAACGCGTATTCGCACGCCACGCCCGGAACTTTAGACTCTTTGAGGCCAGTTTTAAAATATTTTTTTCTCTATTTTTATTTTTTTCCCTTTATTTCCTCATCAAATGAAACCACTTGCAGGGTTCCGCACTTCAAACTCCGTAAAGTCAAAAATAAGGACCACCCTACTCGAGTAACCTGTTCTGAAATAGCAATGTTCACCATTTTGGCGCCAAAAACCGGTAGGTACCTTCTTTACGTGGGGCGTAAGGACTCGATCGACTCGAAACCTTTTCTGACGATACTAGGGCATGCTTTTTGAAACATTGAAACCAAAAATTAGTGATTTTAGTATTACTATCTTGATAGCGTGCGAGTAAACCGTTGCCAAAAGAGCCATTTTGACCCTTTTGGCGCCGAAAAAGCCATTTTTCCGATGGGACGAACCATGCGTGAGGGCTTGAAATTTTTGTTTATTGACAACTGGGTATATTACGTACATTTTAAGGCCAAAACAAAAAATGTATGTGTCCTCATTTTTTTTAAAACCGCTGAAATTTGAAAAAAATTGGAAATTAACGATTTTTACGAATTTTTTTAGGGGTCTAAATATGGTACGATAAATTTGATTGTTTTACCCAAGAATTTGATTGGTCTGATGTGTAAGTGGTGAAATTTTGGTGCATTTTCATCGAAAAATGCGGTAGATACGAAATAAAACGTGAAAATACCCCAAAATTCCCCGGAAAACGGGTTTTTCGGGTCTGGAGGGGGGGGGGTGGTTGGGGTCAGGAGGTAAAAGTTGCCCAAAACCATGTTATTAGGACCTCCTGAAAGGATTTAGACCGTTAAATTCAAAATCCGTGAGGAGGGGCATTTTGGTGCCCTTGCCCAGGAATACCCTTTCAACTTCTTATTCTCTGCTGACTTCGAAAGGAGGTTAGTCAAATCATGCTTCGTTTTTTCATGGGCCAAAAGTTTCCCCATTAAAATACCTAGATGCGATTTTCATGTCTGCTGATATTTTGTAATGAAGTGGCTCATTATCTTGCTGACTGCGTAGGTATTCTTGTGTCATCTTGCAGAGAATTAGCTTGGT